CAAAAATGAAATGCCTTGACAATCGGTCAGTGAGATTAAACCCGAGCCTGCCGTGATAAAACTTGATTTGATTTTTTATTTTGATTTTTTTTACTTTTTTTATTTTTGATTTTTGATTTTTGATTTTTGATTTTTGATTTTTGATTTTTTGATTTTTTTGATTTTTTTTTTTTTGGAATTTTCCTGATTTTTTGATCTTTTCAAGAGAACCTTTTCAAAAATAATTTGCTCCAGTGTAGGGCCTTCTTCCTTCTTTCTCCTTTCTTCTTTTTCGGTATCGGCCTTCCACATCACCAAATGCTTTTTCGTCGATTTCAGCCATAAATACCTGCACATGGGCTTACCAAAGTATAACATGCACTTAAATTTCATGAAAAGAGCAGCGTGATTGATTCGAAAATGTCTTGCTTGACTCTTGAAATCCTCAAATGTGTTATAAAAATTTGCCCCAGTATGGGTTTCTTTTGTGAAATCTTATAAATAAAAATCTGCCCCAGTGTAGGCCTCTTTGATTGCAAAAATTTGTTTAGATGATTCTCCATTTATTTGAAAGTAAGAAACTGTGTTTCCTAAAATTTAGGAGATAACCTCATATTACACATAATGAGAAGAAAATTGAACGTCTCGCTTAAATTCATACAGAAATTTCATTATGAATCTCTCAAAATAATACCAAAGTAGAGAAGATTTCTTCCTCACTTTAGCATTGATGCTTAGGATAATGGGTCACCACTTCTTGTTAGCTCGTCTTTCAGGACCAATCAAGTGGGTATTATTTCTGATTTTTAAGGTGGCTAAGGAAATGGGAGGTCAGAATCTGTCTCATTCTTGCGCCCAAATCGTATCAAACCCATTCAATATCACATCTTAGTGAAAGCAAGTAGTTTGTCACCCCTATTTCTTAAGAAAATTTAGTCAACATATAAGCTTTTTAGGCTTGTAACGTATGGGCAGAAACGATAGCTAAACATGTGAAAACAGGTTATAGTCTTAAGATCACAAATGATTGATGGATTCCTTAGAAGCATAATCCCTACTTCGAGTTGTCATGAAGGATAAGTCAGCGATGGACTTTATGAGCTTGTAATGTGGCTTGAAAACGATAGTTAAACAATAAGACTTTCAAGGACGTTGCACCGAAAATCGCATTTTTTCTAAAATTGCTCCTATTTTGAACTCGAAGATCCTGAACTTTGTTTGACTTTCATTATTACTCAACAGGGACTTCACCATCGAATCTTTTGTATTTCATTTGCATTTATTTCGCTCGCTTTTTTCCTCTCTCTCTCTCTCTCTTTTTTTAATGGCATCTTTGCGGGTTTTCACATGATGAGCACTGTCAATTTCACAGCTAATCAATTCAGAAGTACATCTAAAAAATTTGTTGGCATCAGTATATGAGCATCACTTGCCAATAAATTAGAAAATTTCTTGATAGAGATAATGCAAAGAATAGAAGTCAGGACTTTCGACTTTTGTAATGAGGTCTGGTAGGGTGCTTAGAAAAGTTAAGGCTTGAAAACATATTTTAGAAGTAGTTTAAATGATCTGAGATCGCGTTATCGTATCAATCCTATTTTAGTGTTAAACCAAAACTTGCCCCAATTTATTCTCAATTGAGGCTCTTTTTTCTTTCATTTGCTTCTTTTTTCCTTTTTGGGCTTCTGCCATTCTTTTGAAATTTTCAAAATTTGCCCCAATTTATGTTTAACCGAGGTTCTCTTTTCTTCTTCTTCTTCTTTTTTTTTTCTTTTTGCTTTTGTTGCTTTATCACTTTTCACCTCTTGAGACTTTTCTTTCCTTTGCAATTCAAACTTGCCCCAGTGTGGGTTTGTGATTCTCAGAGGTTGTTAAACGAAGTATTTTATTCTGAAGACTCAAAAGGGATAACTAGGTGTAGACACCAAATTTTTGGTGTAATTTCATTTTTAGTTTTTTATTTGTCGTGTTCGTTTTTTAGTTTTTAGTTTTTAGTTTCTAGTTTTATTTTTATTTTTAAGTTTTAGCATAGAATTTCTTGAAAAAAGGAAAAAGAAAAAGCATTCAAAAAAAATATGACTTAGTCGTTTGTAACTTAAATTCAATGCTTTCTTGAAAGTGAAAAAGAAAAGAAAAGTAAAAACGATGAAAATAGAAAATGAAAAAAAAGGAATTGGAAATTGCACTTTGTTGTTTCTAGTTTATTTATTTTTCACCCAATTGTTTTTGTTATTTATTTTTATTATTATCAATTTTGTTTTTTTTTTATTTTTAAAAGGAGAGAGCTCCCCAACTTTTATTAAATGCGAATAAAAAAACGAACGAGGAAACAAGTCCCACCGTTCAATACATGCCAGGAACCGTAGGAGAAACTATTCCTAACAATTAAAGTTGCGAATATATGGATAACCTATTGCATCCAAATGAATCAATGACCGAGCTCTACTTGGCAGCTGCTGATGAGATTGGAAAGTAACCCATGAACTCTCCAGAGATAACGCCGCTAAGCTGTCTGCCACGGCATTCGCCTCACGATAAATATGCGAAATGGCCCCATTCACCTTACCTAGCAACAGACGAATTTGGCTTAAGACGCTACACAACGGCCACTTACCAACCGTTTGACTAGTAACCAGCCGTGCCAATGCTAGAGAATCCACTTCCACTAAAATACCTGACAACCCTGTCCCAACACACCACTGTAGCCCAGTCAACAATGCTAAACCCTCCGCATGAACCACTTCACATTCTCCAAACTCCTTATAAAAAGCACCAAGCATCTTCCCTTCAAAATCTCGTATCACTCCACCGCCTTTTGCCAACCCATTGGTCACACTTGCGTCGGTGTTCAGCTTGATTGACCCCCGAGGAGGCTTCATCCATGATATAGCCTTCGGACGTAATGATTTAGCTGGTTTGATCCGAAAGTACCGAGCAAAGTACGTATCCGTATCCCCCTCCAACTGAAATCTGTTTAACATGCGTGCAGCCCCCGTAGCAAACAACCACCCATTGACATCAAAAATAACTTTAGAATAGGCCGAGGGAATATTTCCAAACCAAGCATCATTTCTACTACGCCACATAAACCACAGCACTACAACTGGTATAGCACACCGAACATGATTCAATCGTCCATTCCCAGAAGATTGAAACCACACCACTAGCAGCGAAGAAACACATGAGAATGATCCCCACGGGATTCCGCAAGCCAGAAAGAAATGCTGCCAAACAGCACTTGCTAATCTGCCCTGCACAAAAATATGATGCAAGGACTCCGCTGAATCACCACAACAGTCGCATTTGGAAACCAAAGAAAATCCTCTAGAACGGAGCTTGTCGTCCAGAGGAAGAAAATCAGCCAAAACCCTCCAAGCTAGGTAAGACATTTTTAAAGGCAGCAATGGACACCAAATTCCACGCCAAACCAAGGACAGGTTACGCCGCTGTCTAATTAACTCCCAGGCTGACGACACAGTGAACGTACCATCCGCCGAAGGAGCCCAAACCAATTCGTCCTTAAGAGCCAGATCAACAATTGTTTGTGAAATACTATTAACAACAGATCGAGGAAGAACCTGGAGGAGCCGTTGAATATTCCACCCCGTAGAGCTATAAAACTCAGCTACTAAGCAATGAGGAGGCACCCCATCAAACTGCCTGCTAAGCGGTTCATCGAAAAGCCATCGATCATGCCACAAATCGATGAACCCCTCGCCAAGGCGCCAACGAATATTGTCTTCAGCTATAGCCCGAACCGAGCAGACCCGCTTCCATGTTGCCGACCCAACGCCAGCCGCTGCCAAGAATGGATGCTGAGCGCCAATATACTTGCGATGCATAAAGCTTGCCCACGGAGAACTCTTTTGACGAATTCTCCACCATAATTTCATTGCAAAAGCCTTCTCTAAGTCCAACAGAGATCGAAATCCCAACCCCCCTTCTTCGACTGGGAAACATACTTTCTCCCAGGAAGACCAATGAATCCGTCTACCATCCTTGCCATCCCACAAGAACGCATTAAACAGCCTGCCTAACCTAAGAAAAACCCCCTTAGGTGGTTTAGAAACCTGCAACAGATAAAGAGGCATTGAGTTCAACACATGACGAAGCAAGATGAGCTTCCCCCCAGCAGAAAGAAACCGGGAGCTCCAATGATGCAGCTTTGCTCTAACAGAAGCAAAAACTCCATCAAAAAAGATACTTTTCCTACGGCCACTAGTAAGTGGAACTCCCAAATATTTCACAGGCCAAGACTGCTCTTGAAATCCCGTAACTTGCTGAATTAAGGTGATAATCTCCGAAGGAAGCTTCGACGAACAAAGGAAACGACTCTTGGAGAGATTAATTTTTTGGCCAGAAAGAATTTCATATTCTCGAAGAAGGGACGACACAGCCAGCAGACATTCAGACGATGCCCGCGTGAAAATAACCATGTCATCGGCAAACGCAAGAAACGGGACCAGCCCTCCCTTAGACAAAAATCTAAAACCCGGGGAGCTGGTAAACAGCTGCTGGAGGCCCCGGCCAAGAAATTCAGATACAAAAAGGAAAAGAGTGGAAGATAGAGGATCCCCCTGACGAACCCCTCTAGTCGACTTGAAAAAACTCGTAAGCTCCCCATTAACCAACACAGAAAACCAAACATTGGATATTAAACGAAAAATTAGATCTACCACACCTTCCTTAAAGCCAAATTCACGAAGCATGTATAATAAAAACCCCCATTCCACCCTGTCATAGGCCTTCTCCATATCCAATTTCAATATTACGTTAGGGTGACGCAATTTCTTGTCCGAATCCAGAATTAATTTCTGAGCGAGGAGAACATTATCCTGTATTCCCCTGCCCGGTATAAAGCCAGTCTAAAACTCTAAAATCAACTTAGGAAGAAGCTGATTAATGCGGCTAGACAAAATCTTAGAAATGATCTTCGAGCTAACATTGGATAAGCTTATTGGGCGGAAATCTTTCCACTCACACGCCCCCTCCTTTTTAGGCAATAATGTGATCGTGGTACTTCAAAACCCACGAGGCATTGTGGCACCAGCGAAGAAATCCTTCACCGCATCCATGAAGTCGTCCTTGATACACTCCCAGCAACTTTGATAAAAGCCCCCTCCAAACCCATCAGGGCCCGCAGCACTCTGAGGGTCCAGGGAGCATATTACCGTATGAACTTCTTCTACCGATGGTGATTTCAGCAGCATGTCGTTCTCCTCCTGCGTAAGCTTGGGCAGATCAAGAGACGGTCTGCTGCCAGAACAAGCAACGCGGTCGGCCGTGAACAAAGAGGAGAAAAAATCACCCGCCGACAGCTTAATATCATCAATACTATCAAACCAACAGTCCCCGTTACCCCTAATGCGTGTAATAAAATTAGAGCTGCGTTTTTGCTTAACTGCTGCATGGAAAAAGGATGTATTAGCGTCGCCCTCTTTGATCCATTTGATCGCTGCCTTTTGTCTCCAGAATTCACATTCCAACGCTAGCTCCCGAGAATGAACTGCCCTTGCCTCGTGAACTGCCATCCTCGACAGCGTATCTCTATTCTGGTCATACAAAATTTCCTTGGCCAATAAATTATCTGCTGCCACTTGGACCCTTTGAGAGACATTCCCAAATACACCCACATTCCATCGAGATAAAACTCTTTTAACCACCTGCAACTTATTAAAGAATTTCTGCATTCCCACTCCAGACACAGTCTGAGCCCACGCAGACTTCACTGTTGTTTGAAAACTGGAATGACCTCGCCAGACGTTAAGAAACCGGAATGAAGAGCGCCTAGTTGACGTACTTCCCCCCCTGATCAACAACGGACAATGATCAGACCGCCCTCATTGAAGATGAGCTACTCGAGTCATCTCAACATCAGACAACCAAACGCCATTAACGACCGCTCGATCGAGACGCTGCCACATGCGACCATTGGTCCATGTGTAAACAGACCCATCGAATTGAACTGGGAATAGCCCACTCCGATGTAAAGCAGAGTTGAATTCCTCCAAATCACGAATATTGGGAGCTGATCCTCCAATCCTTTCCTCCGCGCAAGAAATAACGTTGTAGTCCCCTACGGCAATCCATGGAAGAGTAATAGACGTAGAAAATTGCTCCAAAGCCTCCCATAGCCGTCTCCTACCAATTCTGTTACACTTCGCATAGACAGCCGAAATAATAATGGAAGAACCAGACGGGAAAGACAAATATATATGAACTAATTGATCCACAGCTTCTACAAAAGAATACCTAGCCTCTGAACACCAGAATATCCAGATTTTATTATGCACGAAAGACCGGGCAAAATCAAATCCCAAGAACAGCTGCACACTCTCCAAATGAGAGACATTAGCTAATGGTTCCAACAGAATCAATAACCTAATATTGTGTGATCTACAAGTGCAACGAATATACCGCAATGAATCCCTGTTCGACGCACCCCAAATGTTCCACACTATAAACTTAATTGGATTTAACATTATTAGACCGAAGATTATAATGCGCAGATGAAGTCATACCTTCTCGTTTCCTGGACTGTCTACTACGACCCTTGTGGCCTTGAATCAACTTTTGCAGCAAATGAGAGTCAGTATCATCCAGAGAAACTCCCGTAGCAACCGGATCGCAACAAAGCTTAGATGCTTGGATTCTGCTGGGCAGCCGATCCTGAAAACTTTTAAGCTCAACCAAGGAAAGACCTTTCACCCCCGACCGGCCTTCAGAATTAGACCGCACCAGTCGAACATGACCGTGGTGCCGTGTAGGAGAGAGAGAATAAGAAGTCCGCTCATGGTTCGGTACTAAAGACGCAGACGGCAACAGACGGTCATCCTCATCAGAAGAGAGGATATTGTCCGATAAAGCCTTAATCGGAGAAGAAGATTCTTGGGGAACAAGGGTGAGAAAATTCTGCGCATCCGCATCAGCCCCCCGAGATGCATTAGAGAGAACAGGAATAGGAAAAGGTACACTAGCTGGAGGAGAATTTCCCCTAATAGAGTTAGCAGACGGTGGTGGAATATCAGGGATGGCAACATCCATTGCAGAAATACCATTTTCAGGCTCTGTTACCCCCATGGCTACCACAAGCCCAGAATCCACAACAGGAAGAGATTCATCAACAGCAGGTACCCCCTTAGGTTGAAAGACTTGTCTGACGTGCGGCGTAGCTGATGGTCCAGAACGGCGCACCGGCCGCAATTCCGGATGTTTGCGATGACAGACAGATTCTGTATGACCAATCAACGAGCAAAACCCACAATAAGAGGGATAATCTTCGTACTCAATTTTTTGCCAAAACCCCACTGATCATCTCCAATCCAAATCCTGGATTTAGGAGACTGCAATACATCGATCTCCAACAATATACGGGCAACAGATGGGCGTTTCAGTGAAGTCGTAGCTTCATCCACTTTCAAGGGACGGCCAAGTAAGGTACCTAGCTTAAGCAAAAATTGCTTTTCAAAAAACGGCAATGGAAGACCCGGAAAATTGACCCAAACTGGTGCAATTGATGACTCTGCTCCTGGTTTAAAATCAATTGTCCATTTCGACAGGGACATATGAAACTTGCCTACGTACCAAGACCTGCGACACCAAAGCCTGGTGTAATCTTCCTCCTCGGATGGACGTAAAAGAATGTGCTTGGAATCTAATAAACCAATCGGGCACTCACCCCTCAGCCCCAAAGAAACAATAAATTTGCGAATAAGCTCCATGGACGGACGGCCTACGGCAAACCTGCCGACTAGCGCGTTAGAGTAAGGCGCCGCAATCTGCATCATATCTTGACGAGAGATGACCAACGATGGCTCCCCCTTGTATGTACTGAGATGGCCAATACCAGAGGACGAAGAAGAAGGAGATTGAGAGAGCAGGGAGGCGAACGTCTTCGACGGCCGAACGAACGGCGGCGCCTCCCCATGCAGGAGAGCCGCCATGAAACCCTAGCCCGACCCTAGCCCGACCTGTACCCTAGCCTGGTGTAATCTTCAATTTTGTTTTTATTAATCTCAGAAAAAAAAAAGATACGCGACTTGCAAGCTGCGGTTTTTCGCAGCTTGCAAAGAAGGGCTTGGGCAGCCCTTTGGTTACAATTTTGGAGAGGATAGCTGAGGGTTTTAGGGTTGCTAGCTTGGTATAAATAGAACAGAAAAACACAGCTTTAGGGTAGAGGATACAGAGAGAGAAAGGTCTGTAGACACCAAATTTTTGGTGTAATTTCATTTACTTTTTATTTTCAGTTTTTTATTTTAGTTTTATTCACTTTTTAGTTTTTAGTTTAGTTTTTATTCTTAGCGTAAAATTTCTAGGAAAAAAGAAAAAAAGAAAGAAAAATATTCAAGAAATATGTTGAGTTGTTTTAATACAATGTTTTCTTAAAGAAAAAGAAAAAAAGTGAAAAATGATGAAAAATGAAAAATGAAAGAAAAAGATTGAAAATGGCAATTTTGTTGTTTTAGTTTGTTTATTCTGATACATTTGTAATTAAAATTGTTGTTTTTATTATTATTATTTAATTTTACTTTTATTTTTGTTAAATTATTAAGTTAAAAAAAAAAAAACCTGCAGCATGCAAGCTGCGCATTTTTCCGCAGCTTGCAAGGAGGAGTTGGGGGGAGCTATCGGAGGGCCAGGAAAAAGGGTCAAGCTGGGGTGGTTTAGAAACCATTGGATGATAGGATTAGGGATTAGGGGGGGTCATATAAATAGAAAAGAGAACAGCAGCAGCAAGGCAGAGGGGGATAGGATCGAAAAAAAAAACAGAGGAGGAAGTTTGGTCACGAGGGCTGAGAGTCTGTGAAAAGAGGGGGCTGAAGGAAAAGAACAAAAAAGGCTAGAGCATACAGAGAGAGAGGAGGCGACTGCATCGGAGGAGGGAGGTTTTGGTTGACGGCTCAAAAACTAGAGAGAAAAGGGGTGAGATGGACGGCTGAAGAGAAAAAGGTGTGGCTGTGAGAAAAGGCTAGTGTAAGAAAGAGAGAAACCAGAGAAGGGAGGGCAGCCGCAAAGGTGACATTTTGGCAGCAGCCGAAAGAGAGAAATCGAGGGAGGAGCTTGACTGAACAAAAAGAAAATCTGAGGAAGAGCATCGAGTGGCGGCTGGAAGCAAGGATTGGGGAAGAGAGGGCCGAGAGATTGGGAGAGCTTCAAGAGAAGTCTGAAGACCAAGGTGAGAAAAGAAACGGGAGAAAAGGCTGAACCAAAAGAGAGGTTTTTCGGCTAGCCATACACTTACCCTCCTGATCCTTCATTTTTCCCTATTTGCATGCAAGGCCCACAACCCCAAATCACTTCAAACATACCACTAGAGCCACATACTCTTTATCACACTGCTGCTAAGCTATTCCTACCTGACCATATTGTTCAAACCAAGTCAGAAATGGGGGAATCTTCCGCTCTCGTTGATATAAAGCTGCTCAAACGCCTTGACCGTTTTGATGAGTTTATAAGGAGGAGTCAGGGTTTGAACAAACAAGGAGTGCTGGACTATGATGAGCTTTGCCTTTTCCCGAATGTACAGTTGCCTGAGGGATTCAAAACCCCGAAATTCAACAAATACGATGGCACGGGCAATCCCAAGACACACCTCCGATTGTTCGCCAACAAGTTGGGTAGGCCAACAGATGATGAAAATCTGCCTTTGAGGCTATTCCCCGAAAGTCTGGAGGGGGATGCACTCGACTGGTATTCCAAGCTGAAACCCGAAGAAGCGAAGACCTGGCTTGACTTGTCCAACGCTTTTGTAAAGCAGTACGAGTATAATTGCGAGCTGGCTCCAACACGAACCACGCTGGAAGGAACAAAAAGAAAACCCTCTGAGGATCACAAGACTTATGCTAAGAGATGGAGGAAAATAGCTGCAAAAGTCGAGCCACCAATGACTGAGGACGAAATCATACGCACCTTCATTAAGGCACATGATCCGCCATACTTTGAAGAAATTTTTCGAATAACTGGTTGTTCCTTTGCCGAGATTGTTAATAAATTGGAAGAATATGATGAGTTTATAAGGGCAGGAAAGATTATTAACGTGTCGGCTCTGAAATCGCAATTGGAAGCAATGCAAAATCAAGGCGGCGGTAACAAGAAATCCCCATTCAAAAAGAGAGAAGAGGAGGCTTCATTTGTCTCGAATCGAGGCCCTGCTCCCCAACCGAGATACCGACAGAACTCCACCTATTCACCCCGTTACCCGTATCAATCATACCCTCATCTTGTTCACCATACCAATACCACTCATCCTCAACCTCGACCAAATTACCCAAACACACCTACAACACCATTTCATATTTCTCCACATAGCTTTCAAACTAGACGTCGCTCTCCTTATCATCCAAGACCCACCTTACCCGTCAACCATAACTACAACTATCAACAGACCGCAGGCACCCAAGACCCGGCCCGATATAGAACTTTTACCAATTTAGGTCGGCCCTTGGATCAACTATATGAGCAACTCAAGGCCGCAGGGAAAATTGGTACAATACCTCCTAAAGCCTATGCTAAAGGATTTCCCCCTGATTATAATCCTCAATCTTTTTGTGCCTATCATTCCGGAGCTCCTGGACATTCTATTGCCAATTGTCGGGTACTTAAACACAAAATCCAAGACATGATTGAGGCCGGAGACATAATTTTGAGAGGGAGAGAAGAACAAGGACCAAGTATAAGTACAAACCCCTTTCCCAGACACAAGGACACCTTTGAGGCATCTACCTCCAATGACGAGATTTGAAAATCCTGAAGGAGCTCTGCACAATTTGGATGGCTGATTATCCTCCCTCTCGAAGGAAATTTTGATGAATCTAGGGGTTGTCATTTACTAAAATTCACGAAAACTTTTTCTTGCATATGTAAATAGCTTAACGAAAGCATCTTTTGCAATTGAGTTTTGTCTTGTTTCTGCTTTGATTTGGAGTTTCATGAAATGCATAATTTGTTTATTTGTTTATTTGATTATTCTTTGAGATGGCCAAAGATGAAATTATTTGACCCTTTGAATATCATTGTTCTGGAATCCGATGATCCCTTCATTGAAAATTCCTTCATTGAAAAATCCCTTCATTTGAAAAATCTCTTCATCGAGAAATCCCTTCTTTGAGAAAGCCTTCATTGAGAAAATCCTTCATTAAGAACCCCCTCATTGAGAAATCCTTTTTTTTAGGAAGCCATACATTGGAAAATACCTCCATTTGAGAAATTCCTTCATTTAAGAAAATCCCTTTCCGACCAGGTTGAAAGCTGATTGGTTAAAGCAGTGTCATCAACGATTGATTCTGATTGATGAAAAGCAGTTGAATGCTATGTGCCATGACCAATGTTGTCAAAACGCATGGCCTGAGTTCATAATAAAAGGGGCCGCCACCGATCTTCTGAAGAAGGGAACAAAGTGCTAAAGTAATGAAGGATGAAGTCGAAGGCAAAATTTGCTTCAAATTGGCAAAGCTCATTGGGTGTTCAAAAGGTATTACCTGGCGGGGCATTCATGGATGGACAGACATTCTCTCAACCTGTCAACTCAGACATGTGTAAGAAATTTTTTATTTTGATTATGCAAATTCCTTCTAGGAAGTCATGCAAGAGACGAGGCAAAAGTCAGGCCATCTTCCTTTCCAATCAAAACATTTCATCCCTAGTCGTCCCTTTTGAGCTATCAGAACAATAATTTTTTTTTGCAACCCCTGAAGATTGCAAACCCCACACTGGGGCAAATTCATTTTGGAAAGAGATGATTAGAAGGGGAAAGCCCTACACTGGGGCAAATTTATTTTTGAAAAGAAAAGAAAAGAAAAAAAAAGAAAGAAAAGAAAAATGGAAAAAAGGAACCCCACACTGGGGCAAATTTAGTTTTGAAGGAAAATGCAAAAGTGAGAAACATGCAATGAAAGTGCAAAGAAATTCAATCAAACTGGGGTAAATTTCCTCGGTTTTGTTCAGAAATTGGAGATAATTGCAAAATGATGCAATCTCAGCCTATTTCACCTCTCATAAGCACAAATTGCTTTCAAGCCTCAACTTTTCTTGAAAACACCCCACCTGACCTCATTACAAAAGCCCAAAGTCCTGGCTTTCGTCACTTGTTATATTTCTATTGGGAAGTTTGCTAGTCAACTGACAAATGATGTCAATGATGCCTTCGCTTAAGTCTATAAGGGAAGCGCGTTTTACTGATGTCAGTAATTTTTCAACTTACATTTCCGAGTCGATCATGGTTGAGCTCTTCCATTTGCTTCCTTAGGTGAAAACCCGAAAGGATACCTCAAAAGAAAAGAAAGAAAAGAGAAAAACACGAACAAAAGAAAAGAAAAAAGAAAAAAGAAAGAAAAGAGAAAAACAAAACAAAAACAAAAAGGGTGGGGGCAACTTTGGTAAAAACCCGAAAGGGCGCCAAGGTAAGTTTTTTGCAGTAAGCGAGCACGAGAAGGAACGGCTGGCGACCTGGTTCATATGGATTTCTCCTCATTTTTGTCATACTTCTGCCAATACTGAATCCCAGAACAAGGATACCCAGAGATTCGAATATGACATCCGTTGGCCAAAACGGTGTCATTTGGTAAAATATTCTTTTGTAAATACATTCTTAGGAAACTCATTTTTTCCAAATTACTTGCATTCATGGTATTTTTGTAGAATTTAAGCATAAATGGTTAGGTGTGCATTCTTGTGCATATTCATTTTTACATGACATGTGAATTTTCTTGCATACCTCATTCTTTATCATTGAATTGTGGTGAATGACAATCCCCGTGATTTTTTGCAAAAAGTATGCTTGGATTCAGTCACCTTTTTGGGAACAGTTCAAATTCAGCCAAGCCAGCTACACAGACTTCACAATATGGCAAAGCACATACCTGGTCAGTTTGAAAATCGGAAAAGCCTCAGGGTGAGAAATCCAACTCAATCGGCTGCCGCAGCAAAAGTTGATAAAGGCATTGAA